TCTTGTAAAATTGATCTCTTATTTTTTTTGTATAAAAGATTCAGTTTGCCAGTATTTTACAGTACAACATTAAGAAAAATGCGGATTTTCTGTTTAGAGACAGTGTTAGAAATATTGACCTAATAGTGATGAGACTCAAGTTTCTAAGAGTTTCCAAATAAATTATAAACTTTCGCTTTTTCAGTTCGCCGAAATATTTTTGGAAAAAGACTTAGAAGTAATTATTAGGGTTTTGTCCATAATTCGAAGCTTCAAAAATTTGTCAAACATTTTTACAAAGCGGTTAAGGAGGCGAATGTTCCAATAAAATTTTTCTTACAATTTTTCGCAGAAAATACCTGAAGATTGTCAGTATTTAAAGCAAAACTGAATAACAATGCGATTTTTGCGTAATAGAAACATTTTAAACACTGGACTGACCTGAAAATTTACAGAAACTTTAAAAATCTTCAGATCGATGAGGGCTGCGAATTTTCAAAAAAATTTTTTGTAAACTTGCTCTTTCGGTAGAAAACTGAATAAAATTATTTGGGTTTTGTGACACCACTTTGTCAATTTTGGTCCCATTATTTTCAGGAAAGTAGAAACTGGTTTTCGGGGAAACCCGGATTCGACGCTGAAAAAAGTTTACAAATCTATAAATTTATCTTATAATTTTTCGCGTAACAGACCTCCAGATCGTCAGCACTTTTAAGTGAAACTACAAAATAGAGCGCTTTTGAATAAAAAGTAAAGCAAAAAAAAATCTATGAAATCTGTTACAAACTTTCGCTTATTCTGTTCGTTTCTTGATAGAAAATTATCTGATTTTTGTTCCAAATTCGACGCTGGGAAAGGATTTCAAAATATTTAACAAAGCGACGAAGGATTCGAAATTTATTTGATATTTTTTCGCGGAAATATCAGAAGATTGTCAACATTTTTCAGTTAAACTTTGGAAAATTGAGCATTTAGAGGAAAGAGTAACTTGGCAAAACTGCAAAAATCTGAAATTTTAAAAATATTATTAATAAATGGCCCTTACAATAAATCTAAAAACAAGTAAAAAAAGTCATCAACATTTTTGCAGCAACTGAATTGAGTTACTGCGCCGGTGCGTTGAGTTACCCAAGCCTAATACATTTGACCGATCGACCATCAGCTGGCATTGAAAATGGCCAAAATAAATTTCGTTTTTTCGTTTTTTGTAAACCTCACAAAAGAAAGTTATTTAAATAGTAGACTTCATATATTGGCTGATTACGCAAACGTCTTAAATTTCTTTTGTGAATTTTTTAAGTTGAAAAATACGATTTTTACAAGCAGAAATGTACAATTTCGTTAATATTCAACATTAACATGTATTTGAAAACTTGATAACCACAAAATATTAAATTTGTAGATGTATAAGAAAATTCTATAGGTATTATATGAGGAAAAATAACTGCTGAACTACTTGAAAATATTGTTTAATAGCAAAGTACATTTTCAAAAGCCAATAACTCCGAGAAAAAAAATTCTTGGACCTTCCTTTTTTTGGAATACATAGTTTGTTGAACAATCTTGCAACTAATAATCTGAACTGTACGTTGGTATACTATAATCTTTTTTGTTAATTGTGTGAACGTTTGCAAATATTCAGTTTTGACCTCCTTAATAATAGCATTTTGGCTGATTACTACCCTAAGGCTGCGTTTAATTCGTCAGCATTGAATTAACTGATGGTTTTGAGAATGAATGCTTATGGCAATTTTCCACCAAAAATTTTCCTTGGGAGTACTGCAGCTTTTAAGAAACTTATATTTTTTCAATTTAAAAGTGCACATTAACAGGAATTCACTAGAGTTGAGTTTCTAACGAAGTGAATCATTTATTGCAATAAGCTAATTGAATGAATATAAAAATGGAAATACAGGCTTCCACTATTATTTCAGGTGCAAATCATCGTATGAGTACTATCGGTACCAGGCCATAATTAGCGGCTTTCCTGTGGCTGCGGACCTCGAGCCGAAGTAAAACCTAGAAGTCTGCTGTCCTGCAAGCAGATCAAGGCAACCAGCTGGCCGGGCCCGTGTATGAGCTGTCTCGTTTGATCGAAGGATCCATTCCTTTCACACTTGATCTTTTAAAAATTGTTAAATTTTAATGAATTGATGTAGTATATTATTACAGCACATTACACAGACATTTTCTATTCTTAAACTTCAGCTAAAAAAATTATTAAGTTCGTAAAGGTAATCAGGGATTTTAAGTAATATAGTATGGACTCTGGTAATGTATCCCCATTTAAAAAGGTGTTTGATTTAATTGAAGCTTTTGAATATTAGCTTCATTATTGAATATTATGTACTGAAGCTGGTGATTTTTTCCAGGCATTTCTTTCTTTTCCATGCCGGTCTAGAAGCGAAAAACTCAATAGTTTTAATCAGAAGCCGAGAAAGCCTTTTCTCGAGCCGAAAACTCTTTCAAATCACCAGGTGTTGTTCAATTATTTACTATTACATCTGTATACCACAAATTAAAAATCGAAAATAGTTGATAGACTACAATTAACAGTATTGCACAACATTTTTGATTTTCAAAAATCATATAGTTTAACTGCCTACGTTTCACACATTTATTTCTGTATCCGCAGGACATTTGCTATTTGACTAGCATTCTCATTGATACTTTCGCTTCAAACGCATCTGGGACCATTAACAAGTTAATCAAACAAGCCCATTTAAGACGGTTAAAAAATGCTAACAATCAACACGCATAATTTATTTTTATGGCATGAGAGTTTTATCCATTGACTTAGGAACAATATCGGAATTATCAGTAAAGCAAGCTGAAATAGCTCTAGCGTTGAGAGCTCGTGGCATAAATAGAGAATTTTAAGGAAGGTTCTTTACCTGTTGAAAAAAGTAATGACGTAAAATGCTGTTTAACTTTTTTATCCCGTTTACGATATAAACCTATGGACTTCCTTCAAGTTTATCTGTTTGCGGGTCATCTTCTGATAGGTTTCTGTCTAAAAGCGCTTTTGTAATCACCGGTATCTATATTGTTGGCGATCTTCCTCTTTTTTCCTTTTTTCTAGAGTTTAAATAATTCCCTCGGCAGCCTTTCTTCCGCCATGCCTCTTACATGTCCGTGCCATATTAATGCTATTTTTGAATGTCGTCTTCATTTGTGCCTTTTACTCTGATTTGTTTTCTTCTATCCTCATTTATCACGTGGTATTGCCCTTACGTCTTTGTGTTAATTGCCACTACAAATACTGAGCGATATGCCAACTGGTCTTAATATGGTATTATATATTCTTGTCTTTACTTCTGGTCTTCTGTTTTCCGCCATAATATTGAGTTCCGTGTCCTCACCTCTTATTTTCCTGCTCATTACAGCTTTTATTCTCAGATATATTCATTCTATTCTATCATTCATCACTTTTTTATTTTTTTATGTTCAGGTCATCTGCTGTTATTCTCCCTAATAGGTCTGAAACCGGTCCTGGGAATGCTTGCTTGTGCCATATCTAGCCTCTAAGCATTTATGACTGAACTTGTTCAAAAGTCCTTCGAAGTCATTTAAAAAAAAAGTGAAATATAGTTAAAACTCTGCTTTCGAAAAAGAGATTTTAAATTTTTTGTAAACTTGCTCTTTCGGTAGAAAACTGAATAAAATTATTTGGGTTTTGTGACACCACTTTGTCAATTTTGGTCCCATTATTTTCAGGAAAGTAGAAACTGGTTTTCGGGGAAACCCGGATTCGACGCTGAAAAAAGTTTACAAATCTATAAATTTATCTTATAATTTTTCGCGTAACAGTTAAAAAAATTTGTCATTAATTTAAAAAACAACCACAGTTCGTCAACAGCCTCATCATATCACACATTAAAATACATCACAATTGCAATACTTCAGCTATTTTTCTTTGCATTCTGAGGATATTATTTTTGGTTTGCAAAAATCTTCAACATACCGGGTGTTAGTTAATATTTTATGTTTATTTGATTTAATTAATGTATGATATACTGAGCTAAGATTGTCGGTATCCGATCTGAAATTCATAGCATTGTTGTTTTTTAATCTGTATCATTTCATGAACTCCTCTCTTATTATAATTACTCTCGTTAATCAGTATTTTTGTGTTATTAATGATTAACGAGGAGTAATTATAATAAGAGAAAAGTCCATGAAATGATACAGATTAAAAAACAAAACAATGCTATGAATTTCAGATCGGATACCGACAATCTTAGCTCAGTATATCATACATTAATTAAATTAAATAAACATAAAATATTAACTAACACCCGGTATATTGAAGATTTTTGCAAACCAAAAATAATATCCTCAGAATGCAAAAAAATAGCTGAAAGTAAAAGAAATCAATATAAACAGTATTTTATTCGTTTTGTGTCCGATAATGGACAAAAATAATACTCCAAATGCATGCCAAGGCTTAAAGCAGCAATAACGCTACACATGTAAGTAAAAATATTTAAGTATCTGAATTCTAGTCTTCCCAAATTTGATTGTCCTGACTAATCACCTGTTAGGCCTAATTAATTTTAGAATGTTTTCAAGTATTGCAATGGTGATGTATTTTAATGTGTGATATGATGAGGCTGTTGACGAACTGTGGTTGTTTTTTAAATTAATGACAATTTTTTTTAACTATCTGTTGTTTTACAAAAACTGATGATGGTCGAAAAATACACCGAAACAAATACAATAAATGACTGAAACCCAGGAATGAATTTGATTTGGAATTGAAACACAGTCAGGAAAGTATATATAATTACATTTAATTAAAATGTAGTACAATTTTAGTGCTGCGTCCTGTCCTGGTGCATCATACATTTAAATTTGTACATACCAAATTAAGACTTTGTTTAAACTGCTAACTTGACGATTAAAAATGTCTTTACTGGAAATATGATCGTATTGAAGCATTCAGACAAAATTTACGAAATTACTGACTGCAAATTTAATAATCAAATTTCGTGGTATATTTATTTTCACACTACTTTCTTATTATCATTTAAAAAATTGCTGAAATCTTTGGAATCGTCCTAATATTGCAAAAAATTTAAATTCACAATTTTTGAACGATTTGATGCTTCTAAATAGGTTTAATTGATTTTTATTAGCACTTATTAGCACGGTTTTTATTAAGACGGCTGTGGAGGCGACGGCAGAAATCGCGTCTGTAAGTCAGTAAGAAAATAGTGAAGTTCCATTCCGTAGTGAGTTACTCCAGCTGCTTATTTTTTATATAAACATGCAGCCTTATCTGGATATCACTACCTTTCCAGGATGACGCTACATTCAAATTTAGTCTTAAGTCTGGCTTTCAGACCAATTGACAAAGATGAATGAAATGAAAGAAAACCTTCATTAAAGAGCTTTAGCCCTTAGGACAAGATCCTGATTTCGTATCAATAAGTGCATCGAAAACTTACTTGGTTCAAGCAAAAGCGACGTTTTATTATTAGAAGACCAAATTTTAGTCCGAATGAATTAGTGAATTGGGTGGCACTGTAAAGATGATCTCCGTCATCAACAGCAAATATTCCAAATATTGCAATTATCGGAATTAATTTAAAGCTGCCATATCCGAAAACCGACCAGAATTAGCGAACTGACGAGGCGATGTTTTGATGGACAACGCAAGACTTAAACAACCGTAAAACAACCTTTCGATTGGACCGAGCAGTCTTGTCCTCCTTCAGATTTTGCCCATCCCGTTCCGATTATTACTTCTATACTATTCTTTCATTGAAAAACTTTTCGGAATCGATTTCAGCACATAAATATTTCCCATTTCAAACCAACATTAAAAACATTTTCAAAATAAAAAAAACATCTAGTAAACAAAGCAAGCTCAAAACGTTAATTACAATCCTTGCAAGCCTATACTACCTAATTAATGTGACAATAATGTACTTACGACTGCGGGGTGCAACCTATTGCAAATCCAACTAGACCTCTCAATAAAAGCATCCACATAAAGCTAGGCGCTATAGAACTTAATAGTCCATAGTAGAATAACAAAACAGCGCATAAACTTAATGCCTACAATGAGATAAAACAAACCTAAACAAATGGTCCAACCAATGAAAAGCACAATACTTGCATGCTTTCTTCCATAACGGTCACTCAGGTTGCCCCAAAACGTCGATGAAAGCATCATGCCAAGAAAAACTATCGTCGTAGTGAGAGCTTGTTGATACCTTAAAAGTATTTTTTAAACTACGGGAAGGAAGGCTTCTAGATATATAGGGAATTCAAAATGAGCTTCGTTGCAACAAGGGGCTAATTGGAAAGTGCGGGAGAAATATTAGATGTTGAGTTCAGTTCTCAAAGATGCGTATTAAACTTTCCTAATGCTCCAATGTAATGAAGAATAGAGTGTATTTTGATCTGCTCTTAGCTGACTTTTTGAAATCTTAAGTTAGTCACCAACATCGTGCATGCCCTTGCATTGCGCTGACTGTACAGTTAGACAACATATGCATAGACCTGTAATTTACCTTGTAATATGCCAAGTGCAGTGTAATGCGGGTGATAATATAGACAATATTGTCATCTCCATACTGTCGGCCATCCAACAAAGTCCTGTCCATAGAGACAGTTTTACTTGAAACCAGCCAAACCCTAACGCGTTCACAGCCTGGGTTACTGTAAACGTATCTAAAAAAGCATTACGACGGGTTCAATTACTAACGGCGTATTGTACATATTGAAATATTTTATGCAGGTCTCAACAAAGTTTGTTTTTCGTCATTATGTTTAGAAAAAACAAGCCATTTTCAGATATGCCAGATATAAGTGCAGCAAGAAACAACCATTTAAACTGAGTTTTTTTACATAGTGGTTTAAAGTATCTAAAAATTGACCAATTTACAACAACAATGATTGAATTGACCGTCAGAATTTCTTCTCTGACTATTATTTTGACAAACTAAGAAAGGCTCTCAGATGCTGTGCCAGAATTTCGCAAATTACATTAATTCCAGAATTTTAGCATAGCCAACACACAGGCAGTTTGCGTGATTAACAGGTCATATTGTTCGCAAATTTTTACATGTGACCTGGAAGGTTTTTAGAAGCCGTCAATAAGACGTGATTATTCGTTTTAATCCCGTTTTAATTACGTTAATATTTCGCTTAGCTTTTCAGTCAATTTTTCTTCGTGTTTCGCTAAAAACAACAATTTTGTCAACAGGTGGATAATCTTCCAGTCTACGGATTACAGTTAAGTTCTTCATTTGGTCAAGAAGTATTGGCCACGTCGTGATTGGATATTTTCAATAACGGTTTTTTTGTAGAACTGATTTAACAATTTATTACCAATTAAGTTGTTTAATAACGTGAATTGTTAAATAACAATTCGAAACCCTTAATTTTAACCAATAAAATACCTGATTTGCATATTGCAATAGAGCATAATAGAACATCACAAATAATGATTGAGTAGAAAAAGCAATTTATAAAATTCGGTTTGTAAGTACTTAATGAGTGAGATGTGCATGCGACCAAAATTTAAAATAATCATAATTCGAAAACGATTCCAAATATCTACTTCTGAGAAAGTAAATAAACCACATTTACATATATAAGCGTTTGCCTCCGTTTAAAACATTAATTTTATAATCATTTGTAATTGTTTTGTCACTTTTCAATAAGTTATATCTTAGATATCCAAAATTTCTACCTTTAGAAGAAGAAAAATAATAGCGCGATTCCGTATACATAAACTTTTGCATTTTGGCGGCTAAAATCCTCATGTAAAGCGTGAAAACTGATAATAAACATACTTGAGCTATTGCGAGTACAAGTCCTGACGAAGAACATTCAGGAGCGGATTAAAGCTTTACGGAGCCCGGACCTAAACTGAATATGGACTTTTTTGACTACTCAGAGTTCGCGGGGCCCTCTCAAGGCCGTAGCCCCTCCGTTAATCCGCCCCTGAAAACAATCAGGGTTAAAGGCCTTTATTAATATCTCAACCTTTTGGCTTGGTAAAGGGTTACACACATCAATAGCTTCATCATGTTTATAGCATTTTAAACGAAATAAGAAGTAAAATCTTACCATCAGGTACTACTGAGACAGAGGCCATTTCAATTTCTTGTGGCACTGTAGTATCTGGATCTACAAGTCCTTTGCTTATTGGCAGTGTTAAATTTCCATCAATATCTTGATACCCTTTTGTTTTTTTCAACACCATGTCTATATTTTATATAAAAAACAATAAAAAATGTTTGTTTACGTGGAAAGCTTTTCCATTATTAACCTACAAAACATAAATGTTTACGTTTGCAGTTTCAGGTTATTGTTGCATGTTTCTAAACTGTCTTTGTCTTTTCCATCTGGTAATCTGCATAACATATATGCCTGATAAGAAGCGAAATCTTGCTTTTTTACGACTTGTTAATTACTGTATAATACAGTAATTTGTAACTGAGATTGTCGAAGAAATATACGAAAGTTTTATGAACGAACTTCAGATATCAGGACTTACGATAAAAACGAAAAAAAAAACCGTTTAACAGCATTGATGTTCCAAATGCATTCTTTGGCTCATGACGTCAATTGGTGCGAACTTAACGGCAAGGTAAATACCTTTACCTAAAAATTCAAATGAATACTTTTTATGATTATTAGAAATATTTATTTAGATGTACAAAAAATTGACATAATAGAAATGATTTCAATTAGATGGACTTCTAATTATGTATATTTTCTATTTTTATCAAAGATTCCCATAAGCCAAAATAATTTATTTAATTGCAATTGCAAAGTGTAAATAATGGTTTATATATAATATAATCAGCATAATATTATGTAAATATAGGTACGTTAAACTAGTGAAATATTCCGCACGGCAATTCCAGTAACGGAGGATTTATAGCAAATTATCTTTTACATTTCTATAATATAATTTTAATGGAAATATTTAAAACGATTCAGTTTAGTTCACCCGTCATTCCATCCAAAATACGGGTATTTAGGACTTCTGGTATTACCAGAATCTTCGATTAAAATCTGCCAACGAATAATAGAATCACAAGCGTTGTAAAACAAATTTAAGTTTAATACAATAAATTTTGTCTAGAGACTAGACAATCGGAGCAATACAAATTATTGCAAGTATTACAATTAAGAAAAAATTTAGCTCATGCAGCTCTGTTTGGGGCAGAATTTTGTTTCGTCGCAGAAAATGGTTAACTTCCGACCTAGAAGTACTTATAGAAAAACATTTATTAAGGATTATTATACCAGAACAGTTAAATTTTGCAATTTTGTTAAAAGCGTATATTCTACACACAAAAAAAGTACGAAATTGTCATACATAATTACAGCAAGCGGAGTTCAAGCGATTTTCAGTCGTTTTATTAAAATGTAACAGTGTAAAGTACCAAAGCTTGTTGAAAAGTCGGTCGACTTGATTATCATTCCTCGGAAACTATTCACATTTTCAACAAGACCCGAGGAGCATCTTTTACTGAAAAAATATATAGTTTGATAATCGACTGATCATCATTTTTCCCCTTTCCCATCCACGGGAAAATGTTGTAAATCACATAAGTGTGAAAAGTGGCATTTACCCAGATATCAAGATAACCAAAGAACGAGTTCTTATAATTCGAATGTAATAAAACATTAATATTATGCAAGGGGTATAAAGCACAAAAATACATACGAGATCTTTTTATAATACAACTTAACTTGAAATTTTTTAATTAAGCACAAAATACGATACGATACGATTTACATATGATATATTAAAACTCTCTAATATACTTTTAGAGAGGTGTATTGGAAAGAAATTGTGTTGGCTCTCAACTTACGACAATTATCAAATTTTGCATCTGTCTATAACATTACATTACTAGTTCGCTGCTTTTGTGTTTAACCAAAACGGCCAGAATTAAAAGCTACGTTATTCAAATAAAGCCATAAAATAATTAGTCTCAATCCCAATGACTTTATCAAAGTAGGTCAAATTAATTACATTAGATAGATAGCTTTAAGCCTGCGTTACCTATCGATTAATACATACTTAGGTAAATTGAATTCAAATGGTAACGCATGAAAAAATAATTTATCACTTCAATACCTATACATATATTATTCGAATATTTAATTACTGAATACCTGATCTTATTTTATTTCTTATAAGACCTTCAGCGTAAAGGTGGAAAAGATTGACAAATCAAAATGCATTGAACCAATCCCGTCTGCAAAGCTCTTAAAAGATATTAAATGACTAAATAAGGCAAACCCAATAAGTCGATAATAATACGCAGGTACTTGAACAAAGTGGATAATCTTGACCCTATTCCGACCGAGAACTTTAATTGGGATGATGATGTACTGTTTAGGCTTAATAATTCATTGATCTACTCTCTTCTTTTCCAATTGAAACATTTAAAGCAAAAAATCATATGAAATAATTGGTGTGGGGACGTAACTTTTCCAACGCAGACCCACGTTTTTATTCAAAAAAATTTATATTTTTTAAATCGGTAAGAATAGTTTACCAGATCCATTCAATAATTTTTTTAAATAGTAACATGCGCATTAATAGATCGTGCAAAGCTCAAACAAGCAACAATATAAAACATCAAACTCAAACGCAAGTCGTGTATAAAATAACTGCCTAACTAGACTATGAGAACTATTATTTATTTTATAGTATGTTTTAAACAGTAAACCTTTCCCAAATTCAATGTGGTGAAAATAACAATGTTACCAAAAAAATGTACTTCATCTGCATTATGCTATGCGTTTTATTTACTTTTTTATAGTTGAATCGTCATAACACGTTCAGTCATAATAATGAATAATTTTCCGGAATTGTAGACCCATTTTTAGATCTTTCTAAGATCCAGTTCAAGGCAATTCTGTGTAAAATGTTATAAAAGAATCGCTTTTCTTTAGCGTCGGAAGTTACAATTTCGAGATTTTCGTTCCACTTTAACTCCATTTGGTCTGGAATGAAATAAACAGGATATTTAGTTATCGCGTAGACCATTCAAGTCTTTCGGTTCTTCCATCACTCATAGTCTACAATTAACACTGTTCAAGCCTTGTGGGCCAAGAATTTAAAAATACACTTTCCGCAAAACGCAATTTCGATCAATTTATCTTATGGTAGCTAAAAACGTGTTTATGCACATTCCCCAAGTAAGAGAAAGCCATTAAGCAAAATTGGTAGTTTGTTTAAATTGCATTTAGTTTTAAATTGCAAGGAAAATTTTAAAATATCGCTTGTATGTGCTTTGGTACTCATCCTACTAGCGACTCGGGAGGAATTATTTCAATTTTTAATAACCCTGTACACATGCATGTACACTTAAAACGCACAACAAAACACGTTTACACGGAGATATTTCATTAACAACACGTCGAAATTATTCTATAATCATGACATTGTTACTTGAAATCGAGTATTGTTATTTCCTGCATTTCTTTCCATAGTTGAGTGAACACAAGGATTTTGACGATTTACTATATGTTTTGCATACATAATTACTAAATCTTGCGGTCAATATCTTTCGATTTATATGGTCAGCAGTAACTAGCTGTAAGTTAATTGAGGTGTAAATATTTAATTTATAGTATAAATATGAAGACAAATAAATCAAAAAAACGATTATTAATTAAACTTATTTTCCACTGCCTCTGATCGGTTTAATGTTAGCCTTTGAACTAATATCGAAAACAAAGTTGTGTTGCAAAATCAAATTAATTTAAATTATTTTAACTTTAACTAAATTTTCAATTAAATTGAGATACTGAATGTTTTTTACTATTGGAAGGTTCTCCTGTACGGTTTAATAATATATATATGTAACGTTTTCTTTGCATATTCTTCAATTATGTTCTTTTCCTTCCTGGGTTTCAGACAAAGTGTGAAATAAAAATTTGTGTATCGTTTATTTCATAACGTTTCGGCGAGGCAACAGCGCCATAATCAGATTTAAAATCCATATAAACTCATAATTGGGAAACATTAGATTCTTTTAGGTCTTTGCTGTCTTGAAACCTTAAATTTGTTTCAATTATTGTCTACATTTGCTGTCTGGAACTTGCTAAAAAACTCGTAAAAACACGCACATCTAAAACTTCTTGAATCACGACTTTTTTGCGAAACTACCAACTTTGCCTTAAACATATTTCACTTTCTAAAAAGGCCATTTAATTATCTCTGGAATGATATAAAAAGTAGCGTTCTTGCTTATTTTGCTTCCGAGCAACGAGCAAAAACGGGACGCAAAACATGAAATTTTGATATAATCTTGCACCTAAGTGTCTGATATTCAAATTTCGCTTTCTGGGTTAAAACTATTCGAATTTCTTCACTCATGTTGTTACGACTGGTCGAATTTTTAATTCTCTAACGATGCCTAAACGAATTCTGTGGCTCAAATTGGGCTTCAGAAATTTCGAAAAAAGCAGCGTCATGTTTGAGTCGACTTTGCAACTCAAAAAAACACTCAAATCTAAAACTTCTTGAATCAACACTTTTTTGAAAAAACTGCTAACATTTCCTGATCGATGGTTCACGTTCTAAAAAAAGGTCATTTAGTTCTCTCTGGAATGATGAAAAAATTACCGTTTTTGCTCATTTTGCTTCCGAGCAACGAGCAAAAACGGGACGGAAAACATGAAATTTTCATATAAACTTACACCTAAGTGTCTGATATACTAATTTGGCTTTCTGGTTCAAAACTACTAGAATTTACTCACTCAAGTTCTTATGACAATGACTGAATCGAATTTTCAATTCTCTATCCAACGATGTCTAAATAAATTCTGGCACAAATGGGGCTTGAGAAACTTCGAGAAAAACAGCGTCATGTTTGAATCGATTTGATCAATATTCGAATGCAATATTGAGTTAAACACTCAAGTCACAATGTCTCAGTTCCCATAGCCGTAATCGACAATTTGGAAATATGCAGCAACAATAATATATAAACAGTGATCGACGATCAATTTAACCCAAAAAGAGTATTATTTTATGTATGTTTGTTATAAATTAAATTTTTATCTTGTTAACACCAAATCAGGCCTGCAATTTTTTAAATACTTGATTAATTAAAAGAACTTTGAATTGACCCCATATCATCTTGATCATAAATGGTAAAACTGCTTTATGCGAGTGATTGTTTCGCCAATAACCAACATGAACCTTGTTCTGCTTCCGGAGGCCAGCCACTTCAGTTCCGATTTAATTAAAAAAGGAAAAAAGTACCGTAAAACCATGTGCGACACCAAGGTTTGTGGAGATTTTAGAACATACATCGAAGGTGCTGCTTAAAAGTTCAATTGTGCGTGATCTTGAAAAATGGAAAAATAATTATTTGTCAAGGAGAGTGTTTATATTTATCACAAATGTGACAAATAATACTACTATGCGTAAATGGCAGGGATTTACCTTCTGGTTGTTTTATACAGCTGAAGTAGTTGCGTATGCTTTTTTTACATTAAGATCCCATATTCAGTGCATTTGTGCCTTAATTGTAAAGTTTTTTCAAAACACTCCCCGAAATGGGATGTTGAGTGTTTTATATGTTGATTCGGAAGTTTTACTGCGAAAAGACCAAGAAAGGCAGATTTCAGGCTCGTATTCTTTCTACTTT